GCTCTAACACCCCGCTCCGCAGGCTCTGAGTTTCACTGAAGAATGAGCTGGTATTTAATAGACACAAACTACCTCCTCTCACAGCATGGATCTGGGAACTGGATTTTGGAACGTTTCCTTTAGGATTATAACAGAATCTCATTGCTGCCGGAGCATTGCATTGCAGGGGTCAAATCCTGGTCCCATTGAAAGAAATGATAAAACTGCTGTTCAGTTCAGTGGGACAAAGACTTTGCCTTAAATTTCCAGAGCTTGATCAAGTTAGTGAGCTGAAATCACAGGGAGTGGGACAGCGCATGGGGACACACTTCACTGCTTTCAGAGTGGGTGAATGATCATAACTTAGCGCTGACACATGATGAACTCATGCAGCGTTGGAAGAGGGAAGAGCAGGTTTTTGTGAGTTCCCCATCTGGCTGTGTCATAGTGCAGCACCACCCCCTGCAGCACAGTAATAGTCAGCCTCATCCTCTGCTTAGACGCTGGTGATGGTTAAGTAGCCGGTTTTATTAGAGACATCTTTGGAACCAGCAGAACGATTGGGGACCCCAGAGCCCTGGTGCTTGTCAGAGTCAGTGTTGTACCTCAGCAGGTATCTTGGGTTTCTCCCCTCATTCTGCTGATATCATGAAACGCTTCCAAATGTGGATCCACTGCTAAGGACACAGGAGCGTTTAACTGTGTTTCCACTGACACTGAGGGGGGCTGAGTCAGAATAAACTGGTGTAATTTAAACCAAACCAGAAAAGAGAAACCGTCTCATTCACCCAAGCCATACGTGAGCAGCACGAGGAGCAGAGGGGCCCAGGCCATGGTGGGAATCCAGACGAGCTCGGTTCCCTGAGGTAAACGGGTCTGTGGCTGGAACCCTCCAATTCTCTCTTAAACCCCCAGCGCTGGAGAACGGCCCCTTCATGCAAATCTGCTCCCTGGCTCCTGTTGCCAGCACGTCCCCTCCTCAGAAGAACAAGAAATGATTAAAGGAGGGTGTGAGCCTAGCTACCCCTAGGTTCACACCCTGCACACTACTGTGATAATATCGGTACAAAATATGCCTTGTGAGGTATCATCTGAACTCTAGTAACACACTGGTTTCTAATGTCATGGAGAAATATATGTGACAGTGCTGGATGTGGAATTATGGATACTCACTAATATTATGCTTGAAAGCCTGTGACTTTAAGATGTTTAAACCAGGCCTGGCAGGAGTGGTTGATAAACAGGTTTTCTCCAGACAAAGGAAAGAGGCCAACACCTCACACCAGGTGTGGTCAGATTCAAGCGGCTATTCATTTGTATCAGGGGTTTGCAGGAAGAGACACTTTGCATTGTAAAAGTCACTAGTGGGGGAGTGGGGGGAGGCTGCATGCAGCCTACACCAGATGTGTGGTGTCCATACCCAGCAGGGAACAGGAACTTTATCGGGGATACATGTCAGAAGGACACATTTCAAAGGTTTATTGGACTATACAGAGAGGGGAAGCAAATGCCTAAGTTACCCTTCACCTGAGGAGACAAGGAAAACCAGCCCCTTGGCTCCATGGGGATCCCAGCTGGGAGCTAGCCAGCTATTGCTGGGGAAGGGAAGACTGGTGAGGAAACTACCATGAACGAAAACAGGGGCTTATTAAGCGAGGTCTTAGCCACCAGAAAGTGTATTTTTACATTTGTTTGTTTGTAACCCTTTCTGATTTTATTTCTTCTACTTGGTATCACATAAAACCTATGGCTTTTGTTTAATAAACTTGGTTACTTTTACTATAAACCAATTCAGGGCCGTGTTTGAAGGGAAGGGTGTATTTACCCCAGTTAAAATTAATAACCTGGGATGTATGGACTCTTTAAAAGAGCAGCAAACTTAATATCTTCTGTTAACGTACAGTGGCAGGAGCTCTGCATTGCAGAGAAAGATCTCTGAGGTGCTCCAGGGTGGCCGTTCACTGGCTGAGCGTTACCTGCCGGGCGAGGTTTGGGCTGGGAGAGCCGTGAGGAGTTTGCTGGTGAGGAAGACAGACTGGGGTGGGAGGGAGCTGATGCACAGTCTAATCTCCAGCACAGCTCGCTCTTGGCTAACACAGTGGTTCACAGTTCTGGGGATCCCCAGCAGTCTGTTACACAGGGTTTGTGAGTGTGAGAAGGACAAGTTACTCTGGTGTTATATCGCGGTGAGAGCCCAATAAACAGATTTTTATTCTATGAAACTGAAAAGAGCTCTCCGACTAGCTCAGAAAAAGCCCCATCTCATGCTGTCAAACATCTTCTCCCCCTTCCAGACTAGCCGTGCACAGTGGGGGTATTTCAATTTCTGCTTGTCTTGCTGTAGAAGCTATTTGTCAGACTCCAGCCCTGGCAAAGAAACGTGCAGCAGGAATTCCACGCTCTAGCGCTGAGGCACCACCTAGCACCTGGGCTCCCAGGGACGTTCTTGGGAAACTTTCATTTGCTCCTTCTTTAGAATCCCTGTCAAATACAGGAGCCCCAGGGACACAATTCTCTCCTTTACCCCCAGGGAACCTGTCATCAGGCCAGGCTAGTCCCCAAACTCCAAAGCAGGCACTGCCACACCCAGCCCTTGGCAAGGAAGGTTATTTTCCTTAGCAGAAGTTAGCAAACAAACAGAAAAACAGTCTTTTAACTCATTCTCTAGCTTCACGGCCACCCCACCAGGGTTTCTGGCTCTACCTGTTCCTAGCAACTTCCTCATTTCAGTCAGCTCTGCTCCCTTGCACAAGCAGCCACCCCAGAGCTGCTTCTCTGAGCCCAGGCCCCCATTTCTGGGGCACACCACTAGCTCTACTCCAGAGTGACTTTCCCTCCCCCAAAGTCCAGCCTGTCTCAGCTCATTCCCCATTGTCAGCCCTTTATAGGCCCAGCTGTAGCCCAGCCCTCTTTAATTGGCTGGATTAGCCCCACCTGCTCTGATCCAGGGTCATGGGCTGAATCTACCCACAGGGACCAGCTACCCTGCACAGAGCCCCAATGAAGTCACTGAGAGAAGGATTTGGCCTAGCTGGCAGTTGTTTCAGTGGAGGATGGTGACCGATTGCCCTGACAGAGGAATGCAGCTGGAGCCCTGGAGTGTCTCTTTCCCCTCACACAAACAGATGCTCAATGTGTGTGGGGAGCTCCTGGGTCTGGAGAGAAGCCCCTGGAGCTGAGCAGGAGACATCCCGGGTTTCTGTTATAATTATTATGATGTCATGTATTAATAATCCCCCCCACTGTGTGACCAGGGGCCTTTTACACAGGTTGGCATGACACCAGACAGCAGCTTCCTCCCAATAAAGAGCATTTTCCTCATGACCCTCCTCAGCACCTGACCCAGTTCCCCTGAGGAGACCAGGAATTTTGGACCTGACTTTCCAAAAGCTGGGACCTGAACTCCACCTGCATTTTTGGCCTTGCATTTGTGCGCCTGCTTCGCAGCTGTAATTCCCAACACTGCAAACACACCCCTGCTATGGAAGGAGATGGAGAGCCAGGGCCCCGTCTCGTCATTCGTGAGCACACACACCGAGTCATGGACAACTGCAGCGTGCAGGAGTGTCGGCGACAAGCACACGTCCCAGCAGGGATGATGATGTGATGTGCTCTGGCCTGGCCCAGTTCTACCAGGTGCAGAGCACTCTCCTCTCCCAGTGACTGCAGTGGGAGCTGGGAGTGCTGTGCCCCTCCCAGGAGCTGCTCAGCCCCCAGCAGGATCAGGGCCTCAGTGGCCAGACACAGACGTATTCCTGGCAGGACCAAATTCTGGAGTCAAAGCTCCGTCCCAGGCAATGCCCAGGGAGCAGATACATCCCAGCCAAACCCAGGGGTCAGAGTGAGGGGCAGGTGATAGTGAAAGAACAAATCTGGGAAATACCTTTCAAGTAAGTGGAGCTGAGAAATATGTCGCCCATTTAAACTGGAGAGAGGGGAGAGCTTAATTCTCTGTGGTCCGAGGGTGGATTAGAATAATTTTTCATGAAGGGATTTCACCTGCATTCTCTGTGCTGGCTAAATACCCCTGTCCCATCAGGTGCCTGAAGAAGACAATTGCCAGTGATCTCACTAACAGACTTACACAAACTGCACTGCTGGGCACGGTAGGATGTGCATGTGCATTTGCTCTCTGTGCATGACGAGCAGAGGCCTGGACCGAGCAAATACCTTCATGGTCAAACCTGCCATGTGTGCAGGACAAAACTTCCCCCTCTGCACGTTCTCCTGCTTCCATTCACAGCAGAAATGCAGGGTGACAGACTCACCCAGTGTACATCCAGTTCCATCACGCCCTGGGAAATTTGCTCATCAACACCAGCTATGCACAGTGTAATGGGCAGACATCGCCATCTAAAGGCCAAAACGAGAACAACAGTGATACTCACTTTATTAGTGATAGTATCAACTGCCACAACACTGGGAGAGGGGACTGGTAAAAAGAGGTGATAAACGATGTTCATTTATTTCCAAACCTACTGAGATTTCCCTGTTACTAAACTCTGAAGAGAGACCTTGGGACACCGATAGTGGTGGGTGGGAGAACGGTGCTGGCTTAGAGACGACTATCAGTACAGGCAGTAACCTCTGCTGTGATTTATCCTGTTCATTAATTGGTCTCTGTGACCCAGCTCTGTGTTTACAGGGAGATCCAACCCTGCATGTGGAAGGGAAAGCCCATTGCAGGGAATCAGAGCGGAGAAGGTTTTGTCACGTATATGGTTGAATACAGCAGTGGATAGCGTTCCTTCAGCTGAGATGGATTCACATCACTTGTAACCCCGAGCCCTTTACTTGTTATTTATCACCAAGGGGGGAGAACTGTTCCTGACTGTTCAGACGTTGGGAGGAGAGCTCTGGGGGGCTGAGAGGGGGGAAGAGCTGTCTGTGCAGCCTGCAGAGGCCAAGTAAGGAAGCAACACGTAAAAGCTGCTTTGTCCCTCTGCAAAGGCTGTGAAGAGGGACAGGAGGAGACATTCCCTCTCAGACTGTGGGAGGCTGAAGTTCTCAGTGCACAATAATCAGCTGATTTGTTGAAAGTAAAATGCAAAGCTCTGCACAGAGCGTGGGACCCAGTTGTGCACAGCCTGGGTGAGGGGAGGTTTTTGTCTCAGTTCCCCATCTGATTGTGTCATGGTGAGTTACCCATAGCTGCTACCACTGCCATAATCTGCACCACAGTAATAAGTGGCCTCATCCTCTGGCTGGACGTTGGTGATGGTTAAATAGCGAATGGCTCCGGAACTGGAAACAGTGAATCGATCTGGGACCCCGTCTCCTTTGGTACTAGAGCCGTACCAAAGGAACTGAGGGGCCTGGCCATCTCTTTGTTGGTACCATCCAACGTTGTAGCTGCTGTGCTGACTGCTCAGAGTGCAGGAGAGTTTCACGGTGTTTCCCAAGGACACTGAGTCCGAAGGCGGCTGGGTCAGTGTGGGCTGCGAACTGGCCCCTGGAACAAGGACAGGAATTCATTGATTATCACAGTTTGGTTACATGCTGCAACAGAATCAAGGGTGAGAAACGGGAAATAGGGAAACAGAAATAAAGAGCTTCCTAAAGCAGTGTGTTAAATCCTCCCCCCTCTCACCAGAGCAGTACGTGAGCAGCGTGAGGAGCAGAGGGGCCCAGGCCATGGTGGAAATCCAGACGAGCTCGGCTTCCTGAGGCAAACGGGTCTGTGGCTGGGACCCTCCGATTCTCTCTTAAACCCCCAGAGCTGGAGAACGGCCCCTTCATGCAAATCAGCTCCCTGCTCACTGGCTGCTGCCACCAGCACCTCCCTCCTCCTGCCTCTGAGAGGAACAAGAGGCTGTTAAAGGGGAGCTCATGTGACACTGGGAGCCAGGGGGTGCTCAGATCTGAGAGGGATGAGAGACGTATAGGGGCCTTCATAAGATGGAGAGAGAATTACTGTTCCCCTGTGACATCGCTTGGCCAGCTCCAATGGCAAATTCCACCCCAGTCCCCAACTTGTCCCCAATAAAAGGCCTCCTCCCTCACAGTGAAATCGTGCACACAGCACACTTTGCTTCAGGGAGCAGCCTTTGCTTCTCTTCTAGCAGTGATCGGTCACACTCCACATCGTGATCACCACGGGGAGTTCAGAGGAGGGTCTTTATGGCCAGGCCGGAGCATAAAACAAAAGGAACTGAGCCCAACTCTGCTCCCGGTGAATTCAACGGCAAATCTCCCACAGGTTGCCGTTGTGCAGGATCGGGCCCATAGTTTGCATTTTCAGGGAAGATTATTTAATCTGCCTTTGAACAGGCTCCAAGCCCAAAAAACGCAACCAGCTGGATCTGAGACACAACTGCAGCCAAAGAGAGGAGAAGGGATTTCCAAAGATAGGGCTCCATGAATCCCTGCTGACCACGTGGATTTCAGAGGCCAGCACAGGGGCTGGACTTGGGCCAGCGTGTGCAGAGGACTCTGCCAAAGGCCCCATGGCCAGCATCACCGGGCAGGATGTCATAAAGGGCAACGGGCAGGTCCTGGCAGGAAAGTGTCCCATGGGGCGGGTGATCAGATGCCCGTGTGCAGCCGAGCCTCCTTCCAGCCCGCAAAGTGCCAGCATCATTATTCATCATTAGTTAGTTCTTATTACACACAGAGCAACCGACAGACCCTGCCCCAAAGAGCTGACGGGCTAGGAGCCATCCAGGTCATTAGCTGCTTCATCTCCAGGAGCCCAGGGGCTTGTGGATGAAATAAAATTACTGCAACGACCCCCAGCTACCAGCCATTACTCAGGCGTTTCAATACAAGTCACATGTGCTTAGAGGATCACATGTGCAAAGAGGGAGGTTTAATTCCATCACTGTCGCTTTTGGGAATCAGGGTCATTTTGCATCATGACATTCATTTTGGTGAGTCTAGAAATCCTCTCTGGGTGGGAGCAAGACAACCCCATATAACATCCAAAACCAAACCTAGCAGCAGCCCATCTACTCCGTGCACTCCTAGCAAATCGTGTCCTGCTCTATGGCAGCCCATACTGTCCTGTGAGCAGTGCGGGCACTTGGGCAGCACAGAGGACAGCTAGTGATCCAGTGAACAGCTGGTGTGTTTTCCCTACAGCTTTCTGAGTGGGCCAGTAATGCAGAGGGAACATAGCTGGCGGGTCCTGCTGCTGGCCGGATCCCTGCTCGCCAGTCGCCCACCCACCCAACAGTGAGTGACGGGGGAGGGAGTCCAGCAATGGCTGACAATGGGAGTGGGGGTGCAAGGCTGGTGGCAGTACGTGGGGCCAGCCACTCCCCATGCTGGTCCATCAGTGCAGCCCCCACTCCGTGCTGGTTTTCAGCCAGCAGGGCCGCATCCCCCATCCCATTTCCAGCCGACGCTGACTGCCCGCTGCGAGCTGCGGTGGCTGGTGAGTGGACTGGCACCAGGCGGCAGTTGGTTACATGTTGCCTCTGCTGCCTATCCATCGGCCCTTTACGTGCTTCCCTTCTCACTGTCCTCTCCCTGCTTTGCCCCTTCGATCCCCCCCAGCCCCACTGCTCCTCCATATCCCCCCACCCCAGCAGGGCGCGTCCCACTTCCAGCGCCGTGTGGAGAACCAGCCTCTGGCCAGAGCGCTCAGCTCACCAACAGCCTGGCGGGAGGCTCCTTCCTTCCCCCACTGCCTCTGGCTGGGCCAGCGCCCTGGGAAGGCAAATAGAAAGAACCCAACTTCTCAGTATTTCTTTTTAACAGAGGCTCAGTCAACTTGATGTTAATTTGAACGTTTGTACTGCATAGTTCTGCTTGCCATTGAACTCACTTGCATACGAATACGTTTACCACGTGTCCTGGATTCAGCATAGGGAAATACGGTCACCCTACACAGGCTGAGGTTATTTGTCTCAGTTCCCCCTCTCCCTGCCTCTCTGCGGTTACAGCCAGATGCTACCACTGCCAAAAGCTCCAGCACAATAATAATCAGCCTCATCCTCTGCCTGGACCCCGGTGATGGTTAAATAAGCCGTGTTCCTGGAGGAGTCTGTAGAGCCAGTGAACCGATCTGGGATCCCATCACCTCTGTTGCTGGTTTCATACAGCACAAAGCGAGGGGCTTGGCTAGGTTTCTGCTGGTACCAGGTTATAGGGCAACTGCCAATGCTGTACCCACTGCTCATGGCACAGGAGAGTTTAGCTGTTTGGCCCAGCGACACTGACTGTAGACGGCTGAGTCAAGACGTACTGGGAGCTCGACCCTGAGAGAAGGGAACAAACAGAGCAAAATAAAAATTCAAAGTCTCACTGCCAGGGCTAATTCTAAAGAGACTATTTCCCTGTGTTAGATCTCAAATATCATGCAGTGTTACAGTAATAAAGTAAATACGACCCTTCCCCGCAGAGCACCTGAGCAGTACGTGAGCAGCGCGAGGAGCAGAGGGGCCCAGGCCATGGTGGGAATCCAGACGAGCTCAGCTCCCTGAGGCAAATGGGTCTCTGGCTGGGACCCTCCGATTCTCTCTTAAACCCCCAGCGCTGGAGAATGGCCCCTTCATGCAAATCTGCTCCCTGGCTGCTGCTTGACAGGGGCAGGTCACAGGGCTCTGTCTGGGTCAGGATATAAAACTAATCCTGTTCCTGTTCCATAAACGGCCCAGCTCCTCGGGAGGGGGCAGGTGTCACTCTGCTCCTGACAACTCCTGAATTATTTTCAAAAGTCCTTTATTACTTCTTTGGCTGTAACTCTCTCCTAAGGGATATCCCCACCCGTACCAAACCTGCTGTGAACAGACAGGCTCACTGGGGAAATGTCTCTGTTTCCAGTTCATGCACAGAGGAGTTAGGAACTCTGGGAAGGATGGTCTCTTCCCACCCTACATTTCTATCATCAGCCATTCCCATTCAGCAGAGCCGGACGATTCAGTCATGACAAATTTTGCTTCCTATTTAGCTCCTTGTTCTGTCCTAGAACGGTTCAAGGCACTGATTTTTTTGAATGTTTCCGTTCATTAAAATTTTGCTGAATAATCTGAATGAATAGTTTTGAAATAGGGGGAATAGCTTGACTCCGCCTCCCTCTTATACCAAACTCCCTATCCAGTGGACTCACAGCAGGACATACGATGAAGCAGGACAGTAGAGGTTTTTGTCTCAGTTCCCCATATGACTTCATCACCGTGGGACACTCCCCCACTGCCATACCATATGGCACAATAATAATCAGCCTCATCCTCTGCTTGGATATTGGTGATGGTTAAATAACCATCATTGCCAGAGCTGGAACCAGTGAATCGGTCTGGGATCCCATCACCTCTGCTGCTGGTACCGGACAACACAAAGCGAGGGGCTTGGCCAGATCTCTGTTGGTACCAATACAGATTGTAACTGCTAAGGCTGTACCCGCTGCTCATGGCACAGGACAGTTTGGCTGTTTGTCCTGGTGACACAGACTCTGAGGAGGGCTGAGTCAGCACCGGCTGTGAACTGGCACCTAAACAAGAATAAAAACAGGAATATATAAATGATGAGTATCCCCACATCCCATTATCTGTTACGAAGTCTCATGCTAGGGATGTTCAAAGGATGGCAAGAAATTTGGCTGCACAAGCCCAGATTAATCCCCAGGAATGTTTTGAAAATCTCAGACCACTGATCTGCTGCTTTTACATTTCAACAGCAGAGATGTTCCCAAAAACCATTTGATTGGCCTGAATTTACAACACAATAATCACAGTCCTTGGTCAAAGTTTTGGGACAAGTCAACCCTTCTAGCTAACCTGAGCAGTAAGTGAGCAGCGTGAGGAGCAGAGGGGCCCAGGCCATGGTGGATCCAGACGAGCTCGGCTTCCTGAGGCAAACGGGTCTGTGGCTGGGACCCTCTGATTCTCTCTTAAACCTCAGCACAGGAGAACGGCCCCTTCATGCAAATCTGTTCCCTGTTCAGTGGCTGCAGTAGCATTTCACAGTCCCCCTGAGAAACGCAGCAACTCTTAAATGGGAGCTCTGCTCTCAGAGGCACTCAAACCCAGAGATGCCAAAAAGGGGAATCATTTGTTTTTCCTGAGGGAAACCTGCAGAGGTACCCCAGCTACCACATAGAAAAGGGCAGCATGAATTCTGCTGTACTGGGGAGAATAAAGAACTTCCTAGCATCACAAGAAAGTCCTGTGCAGGGAAGGTTTCATGTCTTCCTCTCCTGTAGTCCCTAGACTATACAGTCTCCTTACAATATAAGGCTCTAATATACAGCTGCAGCTAGCAGCAGTGGCTAAATTCAGCACTTGATTACCCACATGGAACGCCACTGAAGCATGGCTGTAAGTAACAGCAGAATTTGGACCATTGTTACCAGTTTGAAGTGGACGATGTGCACTAATGCAGGCAAAAAACAAGCCCTTTAAAGGGCCCCTGCTTTTTATAATGAGAGGCTAAATGGTTGGGGTTTGGAAGCCTGCGGACAGTGGGAAGTGTGGACAGAGAGATGCACCTTCTGTTGTACTCCACGTGGGCCTGATTCTGCAAGGCTCTGCGTGCCCTCCCCTTCCAGGGCCTGCAGTGGGAGCTGAGGGCTCTGGCACCCCTCAGGAGCCGCTCAACCCCCTGCGGGATCAGGCGCTAACCAGCCAGGTTCAGATGTATTCCTGGCAGAACCAAACTCCAGAGTCAACGTTCCATCCCCGCCAATGCCCCGATC